GTATTCACAGCTAATACATCATTTATTGTAGAGCCTACCACCATTATTTTTGCACCATTTGTAATCTTTATTTCACGTAGCGTCTTGTCCTCTGGAAGCAAGCCTTTGTACATCACTTTCTGCATGGCCGGTGGAAGACCTGTGAAGGCAAAAGAGAACAAGCATTGAGGCTGTAGTCTTTGTGATTCAAGCTAATAACCCCTTATAGCATTCACTTTAAAATAAACAACTGTAGGCTCTCACCAGTGAGTGAGTGGATCCTCTCTTTTAGTTTGGCTCCGGTGCTATCAACAGGAATTTTCAGATCATATTTATTCTTGTTCCAGATAATCTTCAAGTCCACAGTCTCTTGCTTTTCGTCTGAGTCATCCCCATTGCTAATACTAGAGTCCTGAGTTGTGGCGTCTTCTGCATCTGTGTGAGATGCAGTTTCTGCTTCACTTTTTTCAGCATCTTCATCCAGTGGTTCCGTTTCTTTTGGCTTTGCCTCAGTTTCCATCAGGACCTCTTCACTTCCTGCAAGAGCATGAGAACTCTGATTTAAATCTATTATATGACATGTATGCAGCTATGGAATTAACACTGTTAGTTTAAGAATATTATATCCCACATTTCCCACACAGATAAAATATTCAGAAATACCCTTAAGCTTGTCCTACTAACCAGTGTGAGCATACATGTCTTTCTACAATTTCATTAATACAGTGTATAATACATGCAGATTACATAAGACCAATTTTTCTGTCTTTAGGAAATGTATCTATTCTTGCTGTTTAGTAACACAATTAGAAACAGCCCAGTTATGTTTCAGTTTAGTTGTTGAAAGTGACAATAACACAACGCTAAGGATCTTCTAAAGGCTAAACGTGTACACATTTGCTATGATTTATTATGCCTTTAAAATACCCAGCCTTGTGGTATTGAATGTAATAACGTCAGACAAAACTTTTCCATGTCTACCATACTAATTTTTACATTTAAAAAAAAATTGTACCACACTGTCCCACCCTCACTACAAATAAATTCACCGCTTTAAGTTACTTTTGGTCCTCACCATGGGTTCCTACAGTATTTTAACACAATAAGTAGCCTCTTGTTCACATATCTGATTCCTCTCAAGTCACGCTATCTGTAATTATAAACTTTCATATATAGAGAGAGACAGAGACAAACTGCTTACAATTCTTATGTCTCTCTAATGCATGTCTCTCTCTTTTGAAATAAAATATATATATTTGGTTTAGATACATTGCCCTATATTTCCACGCAATGTATAAGTCAACTTTATGAAGTGCATAATGAAGTTTCTTTCTCTTTTTCCAGTTCCTGCCATCGCTTTCTGGTGAACAGCTCTTTCTTGTATGTTGGGTGAGGGGGCAAGTAAGAGCACACCTCAACCAAAACACATATGACTTCTGAACTAATATATGTCCTCGCAAAACCACATCTGCCCTAGTAAAACAACTGGCCTTACATATTACAAAACTGGTAACGTTAATATAACATATAGTTCGTCAATACCCCGTGGCTACTATTTATAACGTAACCATATTTAGTTAGCTCTTTACCAGCTATAGTTAAACATTTCAGACCCAAAACTGGTGAAATATTCTGACATTTCCGTTAACGTTAGACTTCTACAGATCCAGCTATATTTGACTGCTGTTAGCAAACGTTAGCGTTAGCCAGCTACAACACTGGTGGACATGTAAAGAAAAACGTTACGAAGAGGCGTAAACTTACGCTGCATTACATTATTAGCGTCAGCTATTAACATGTCAATTAGGAACAAGTGCTAGTTCATTAACAGTATTAGGCTCAACATAAAGATATTAAGGAAATACTTCTAGATCTTCTCAATACCCACCATCCTGCGTCGCCATGATGATTGTGTACAATCTCTTGTAGGTTGTAGCAAAGAGATTACAAGCGGTAGGATGATATCCGATACCCAGGAAACAGAGGTTCAGCACAACTAAAGTCGTTCTCAGGCACACATTTAAGTGTGACAACAAAACAAACTGGAATAAAACAGTAGATATTTTTACAATGACACAATATGTGTTGCTATACTTACAGTAAACAGTTCAAACGTTCTTCAGTTAGCTGAAACGGTTGGGCAGAAAAACAGAATGGAAAAAACGCATGCGCATTAGGAAATAACTGGTACTAAAGTTTGTTTCGTTGACAAAAAATGTTGCTCTCAAAATAAACCATATAATAAGTCAATATAATATAATAGAAAATTATAGTTTAAATATATGCATTTTTAAATTAGAATAACTCAAAACAAGAACCGTGTAACGTAGCCACATACGGGAAGTTAAGCAAACACGGAAGCGAGTGGGGGTGAATTTCTAGCTTTAAAAAGCTTCTTTGTTGTTGTGGCAGCAAATACAGACACGAGAGCTGGCACTTTTCTTGAACGCTATTGGTTGAGTTTTCTTCGTCTCTCACATTCTTTGACGTTTGGAAATTATAATGACGCATCGTCGCCAACTATTGGTTTTTCTGAAACCCATTAAACTATTTCAAATTAAAATGTTCTTTGATTCACGTTCATTTTATCTCACTGGCTCAAGTCTGTCAAGGACGGGAATCCCAACAGCTTGAGGAGAATCTCCCCCAGCTCCAGTGACGCTGATTATTGGAATTACAGTAGCCTAATCGGAGAAATCGTTCCACTTAAATGAATATTAAACAATACAATGTAATAAAGACCAATAGCCTATAAGTTTTGAAGATGATTTCCTGTGTCCTCTTGTGGTAGGCTATTACTGATCACCTCTTATAACACTAAGAGTGTAGGGTTATTGTTTACGTGATCATTATAGGCTACATTTGTATAGTTGTTTCACAAATAGCCTATAGTGGCTGAAAACACGACTAATTTCCCTCTTAAAATAATAATAATCACCTTTATTTGGCCAAGTATGTTACACACACAAGGAATTTGTTTCCGGTACATAAAATATTCAAGTAAAATGCCAGTAGGCTACCTCAAATTTGTAGCCTATTAAACACAGTATCTAGTTCCACCGCACCGCAGTTAAACCCAGTGCGATGACGCATTGTCGCCAACTATTGATTTTTCTGAAACCCATTAAACTATTTCAAATTTTTAAAAAAAAATCGTTGTCATATGACTCCTTTCCCTGTTCCTCCTGGTCCCCTCTGGAAGGCAGTAAAACTAAATGAGTGTAGATTATCACAAACTACACAAGAAGAAGAGGGAGCAAGAGGGGGGTGACGATAACCATGAGGACGAGGTCCAGGGAAAAGAGGAAGACCGCAAATTTGCTTTTAATTTAAGTCACAAGCTGTCATGCGTATAACAGGAGGGAAGTACCACTGTTGTTGAGTGTGGCCCTCACTCTCCACTGCACGTCTCCTCTTTTATTGAAGCTATTTGCGTGTGCAACTGGAAACAAACAGTAAAGTCAGTTTTCCTGGCGTAACTTTGTCGATAGGCTATGGATGTATCCGTATGAGCTTTCCTTCATTTGCAGACTGCTCGACATTACCAGCGGGAATAAAGTTAACATGTACGACGATTAAAAAAACACAATGGCAGACAGACGGATTTTAAACGTTGTGATTTTGGGTGTGGGATTTCTGTTCATTTTCACCGCCTTTACCACCTGTGGGAACGTTGAAGTAAGTTGACAAACTTCTTCTAGTCTACTGAAAGGCACATCTGTTTCCAGAAAAATGAGAAAACCCGCAGAGAACGCTGCGTCGAGCTGAGATTTTTAATGGATGTAGCAGATTTCCTGACTCCCCACGCTGCTCCAACACGTCTGATAACACACGCTATTAACACAGCTGTGTAATTCTAAATATATATTTTGGTAACACACATACACTTTCTATAGCTGTGAGGGCACTCATTAACATAATGCATTCCATTGCCCCCTACCCAGCCATCACAACACCACCACTAACTCCTTAAACCCACAGCCCGTTGAAGTTGTGAGGACTAATGTCTACACAGTTCAGGGGTGTGCAGTTAGGTTATTACAGTTCTATTTTTATGTGTTCTGCAGTAGGTAGCTGTGTGTCAGCCACTTCTCCTGTTTCTAATTCACTTCGCTGTTTGGTGGAATTATCAAACCAGATGTGTGACTTGAGCACATAATTGTGACCCATCTTGTGTGGTCTAAGCTAAGCCTGTGTCTCAGAGGTTTTTTTTTTTGCTTATTATTTTCAGCAAACTGTGGTGAAAAGCCTGGAGAATGACACTTTCACTGGAAGTGGGTACCACAGGTAGGTCAGGCAGGTTCCCATCCTCAGATCAACCTGAAGAACAGGGAACATATTGCTGCTCATTTTAATAAACAAGCACATTTTAAAGTAAAACTGAAAAAAATGATTCTCTTTGCCTCCTTTACAGTCTTGGAATCATCTATGGGGTCTTTGCATTTTCAAATTTACTTGCGCCAGCGGTTGTTGCAGTAATTGGACCAAAAATAACATTGTTTTTGAGTGGCCTACTTTACAGGTAAACAATGACATGGTAATTACAGGATGTTGACAGAGATTATGAAGCTGAAACATGCTGCTCATTACTGCTCCTCATGTTTTGTGCCTAGCGGGTACATTGCTGTATTCATCATCCCCTCAACATGGTCCTTTTACTTCACCTCTGTGCTCGTCGGCATAGGAGCAGCCAGTATGTACCTCTCCAACCAATATGAAGTCACTTGTACTGCGTTTGGTTACAGTACTGATGAAGCTACTACTGTTAGGGCTTAAAATGTATGTTTGCACCAGCATGCAGATTATATTTAACCCTTTAAGTTGACTAGTGACAGTGATTATTAACTTTATTTTACACTTGGAGATATCCTCAAATGGGGGAGAAGAGTTTCCAGGCAAACTCCCAAAGTGTATTTGTTTAAAACTACTCTCTTTTGTTTCTGAAAACATCATCCATTACTCTCCCTATTTACCTTATTATGCAGCAGCCTGACACCTGGGCTATAATGTATTGAGTTATTAAAATATTCAAATCTTCTTAGTATTAGTTAAATTTGCCTTAATTTAACAATGTCTCTGGAATTTTATCTTACTTAATTTTTCTTACAGCAGGGAAGCAACGAATAATTTCATTGTAGTGAAAAATGCTCATAATTTCTCACACGGTTCCATATGTCTTGCTTTGTCCAACCACTAGTCCAAATCCCAAGACTATAACTGTATATATGATGAAGAAAAGCGTTTCATTTTCAGGTGTGAAAAGCTGAAGATAGGAAATGCACTTTTCTTCGAAACATGGCACGGCCAGTAGATTATCCAAATACTGCATATGTCAATTCCTGGTCTGTTGGATTAATTGACAGTTTACTCATATGCTAGATTTCAACCAGAACAGACAGCTTTCCTTTTGTTTTTGGTTTGGCACATCGTGACCCATATACAAAAAAATGCCCATATGAACATTTGAACAGGATCCAGTGGCTTAAGAACAGCTTGAGATACTAAGGCACAGAAATACTTTAACTTGGTTCCTCTTGCTTTTCACAGCCAATGCAAGCTCAGAGTCTGTGTTAAAATTTATATAGTGTTTAATCTTGCATGCAGGGATTATCAGGACTGGGACACGATGATACGTATAAACGCTATATACCAATTTAGACCTTAAATGGGTTAGAAGCTGTTGCTGTAAATAGCGTGCAGCACCTTGAGCTTGCCCATAGATGTTAGTGAAAATGCAGAGAAAGCTGTGTTTACTGGGAAAATGAAGAAAAATTATTTGGGGCTGTTTTAAATGCAGCCTGAAATCCTCACAGTGTGATGAATTTTTATCATGTCCCCGGGCTACTGTGTGGTTAGACGCATTACTTACCAACAGAGAAGGATAATTATTCACCCTTCATGTGGGCAATTACTGGTTAATTTTTCTTTTTCTTTTTTTTTTGTGTGTGTGTGTGTGTGTGTGTGTGTGTCGGTCCCATATGACTCCTCTCCCTCACGCTCCTACAGTGCTGTGGACAGCTCAAGGACAATTTCTGGTGGAAAACTCAGAGGCCTCCACCAGCAGCAGGAACACGGGGATGTTCTGGGCTCTCCTACAGTGCAGGTATTCAGATGCTGACAAAGTAAAGTCCAGTCTTTCTGTCCATTCAGTGCTCAAAGATCCCATTGCCCTAACACCATTAACTCCATAGAATTTCAAAGATTTATTAAAACTACAATTCATTGTAATTATTTTAGTCGATATACAAAATGTGATTCTTTGAAATGATTCAACTATGGCCTTCAGTGAATTAAATATCTATTTGAAGATCAAAAAATCCTCCTAATTGGCCCTCTAAACCAACCCAAGGTCAAGGTTAAATTAGACATATTTCATTATTCCTTCCTGTGAATACATTCATGTTTTTGTTCCACCTCTTCCAGTTAATGAAAGATATAATTACAGTGGAGCAGCTAAAATCCTGTCTTGTCTACATTTTAGTCTGACAGGATATTGCTATATGTTTCATTTTAAATTATATTTCATAAATCGTGTTACAAATTGCAGCCCTGTGATAGACTGGCGACCTGTCCAGGGTGGACCCCGCCTCTCGCCCAGTGTTGGCTGGGATTGGCTCCAGTCCCCCCTCGACCCCGCTCAGGAATAAGCGGTGTAGATAACGGATGGATGTAATTTCTCAGCAAAAACTACAAACTTACTCTTAAAACCAAGTTCTGCAGGGGAGAGGTTCGGCCCTCTCATCTCTTGTATTTGTCCCTGTGCGCTTGCATGCTAGCTTGAACAACTAATTTGTACTTATTAAAATATGCAAATTGAATTAGTATAATAATTACATTGACTGTCACCTGCACCAAAACTCACAATAGGGCAGTGCTAATCTGACTCCACAGTGGTGATCCCTGCCACAGTAAACCTATGAATCAGTCCTTCACACCCTGAGTGTGAGCGCACACACACACACACAGTGCAGTTACTGTTGTCTTTAATGGATCATCCCATTATCCCTCACTGAGGCTGTGGGACAGACTAATTGCTCATCTGCATTTTTTTTTAGTTTAGGTGATATGTAATTAAAGGCATAAACCGAGCACAGCATTTTTCCAGGACTGCACTTTTAACCATGGAAGGCAAATAAAATAAACAGCTTCAAAAATGAATGAGGCGTCCTCAGGGGCATAAGGTGAGCGTCTGATGCAACCAAAACAACTGATGGTGGGTCTGCAGTGCTGCTTGTCTGCTTCTTCTGTCTATCGAACAGGATTTCTCTGCTGACATTTAAGCCTGCTTTTTTAATTGACTGTCCTAACAGGGACACTTCATTAAAAGTCAGAATTTTAAACTCTAAAAAGCCCCAGGAGGTTTGATGCACATGAAAGTTTGGTGATATAATTAAATGCTAGGATGTTCTGACTACAATTTGCACCAATGCTCTGTTTATGATAAAACGTTTGAGAGATGACCTGTCTTGTCCCTGATTGGTCCAAGCGGTGACGACATCATGTCTGTAGTTGGTGTGGAGGCTGATACTGTCAGAGGTTTCTAATGCTTTTCTCACATTAATCAGAGATTGACTTTCACAGCTCCTTCTTGGTCTTACAAATAGAAGCTGATGAAACATCACAACCAGGACCATTTACTGTATTTGCTGCTCTGGGCTGTCAGTCATATCATGATCTTCATCCTTGAGGACAGGAAACTAGCTGTGAACACATTGGTGACAGATCATCAACTTTTAAGATAATATGGTAAAATTTATTTCATTTGATTTATTTACACATCCACCAGCCGAAGAGCGAATTTATCATTTGTTTGGAGATGCGTTTCTGGCCATGAGGTGAATCAGGTCGTTCTCTTGTGGGTCTGTTTTTGCTCCCCACTCCTGAGGAAAATATTTAATTTAAGTTTTTAATTGTACACAGGGCAGTGCTGTAAATAAGCACATTTTCTCAATCTACACTGTATAAATAAAGAACATAATAATAAAAATAAATGTCTGTCTTTTTAGCAACTAAACGCTCCAGATTGTTCACACACTAGTTTCTTTTTTTGTTTGGTGCTGAGCAGGTAGCACACGATCTGCTGGTGGGTTTTTAGAGCATTTTTGCTAAAAACAGCTGCCTGCTGTGGCTGAAAATAAAGTGATGAGAGTGAAGTTTCTGCCCGGGCAGCTGAACAATGAGCTGAAACTCACTATTAAGCTCCATAATAAAGCCAAGGTTTCAGATTCAGGTGATAATCTTCACATTGTTTTCACATTTGATACACTGTTATTAAAAAAACGTTGATTGTAGTGCTTGAAGAACTTGTAAATCTGTAATTCTTTGAAGCTGAGCAATCTGCATCTGCTGATGAAGATCTTGTGATACAATCAAAAGTTCCTGAACAGCTACTAAATTAACCTTGAGGTGGGATTGTTCTGTCAAAATGTCCAAAGCTTTCTATAAGGGTTTAATAACCCACAGAAAATGGAAAACCGAAAATAGCCTCACATTTTTTATGTGAAAACATGAAACTGGAGACAGAAGGTTTTCATCCAGCATCCATGAAATATCGCTATATAAAATATTGTTTTATGCCCTGTCATTTACTCACATGATTTACCTGTTTGCTCTTATTTACAGCATGTTATTCGGCAATCTTTACATTTATTTTGACTGGAATGGCAAAACCGAGATATCAGGTAGGGTTAAAGCATGATGATTAAAGTCAAATTTCAAGAGGATTATATGAGTAATTGGCTATTCTGAATATTATTAATATATTTTAATGTTCCTCTCATAGAGAGCAGCAGGAAAACCATGTTTCTGTCCCTGCTGGTCATATCTGTACTCGGTACGCTCAGCTTCCTGGTCTTGAGAAAAAGCCATGAAGAAGAGGAGATGCTCTCTGAAGAGGAAGAGCAGCCACTGCTCTCAACTCGTGGGATGTAAATAAATATCCTTTAGATAATTACACCCTTTTCACTGTAGTCTCACAAAATTACTCACCTGGAATATATTACAATGCCTGAGCCACTTTTAAAAAAAGGACACCTTGGGTTGAAGTGCTTTTGTCATGTCACATTCAAATATGTTGGAGTGAACATGACAAAAAAAAGTTAATTTTCATACTTCTGACTCACACAGTTTTAAAAACTACTCATTTTTAAAATTACTTGTTTAAAATAGCCCACCTTGGATTTGTAAGGCTTTTTGAGGTACTGTATCACTGCAGTTTTGCTGGCGTTTTAAAGCACTCTTGTCCTTCACAAAAATGATTCTGACCATTTTTCTCCAGATCATTGCGATTTCTGACAGAGTCATGCCTAATCATAGCACTTCACAGAAGTAGGGTGCAATCAGGTGGATTTGGGTCAGCAGGGAGGGAGACTTTGTCTTTGTGAGTGACAGCGGTTAAACACCCTAACCTCTCCAGGCGCTGCCCTCCACACTATTTCAGACATATTTAAATTTCTGACTTGAATGTGGACAAAGCTCGACTCACATCATAAATCATGAAAAACATAGCTGTCACCGCTGAAAGTCAGGGAAAAAGTACCCGGCTAAAATAAGCAAAATAAAGTTTTAACACTAAGTAAATCGACTTTGTGAAACAGACCTAATTTACAGTGGGTACGGAAAGTATTCAGACCCCCTTAAATTTGTCCCTCTTTGTTATATTGCAGCCATATGCTAAAATCATTTAAGTTCATTTTTTTTCCTCATTAATGTACACACAGCACCCCATATTGACAGAAAAACACAGAATTTTTGACATTTTTGCAGATTTATTAAAAAAGAAAAACTGAAATATCACATGGTCATAAGTATTCAGACCCTTTGCTCAGTATTTAGTAGAAGCACCCTGTTGAGCTAATACAGCCATGAGTCTTTTTGGGAATGATGCAACAAGTTCACACCTGCATTTGGGGATCCTCTGCCATTCCTCCTTGCAGATCCTCTCCAGTTCTGTCAGGTTGGATGGTAAA